CTGGCAGCCACCCTTCTGTCCCTACAAACTCAACCACTCTCAGGATCTCATATAAGTGGAATCCTGTCGCATTTGTCTTTTGTGACTGGCTCGTTTCACTTCGCACAATGTCCTCAAGGCTCATTGTGTGGTAGCCTGTGTCAGTTTCCCTCCTTTTTAATGCTGAAAAATGTCCCGTTGTGTGGATGCACCGTTGTTCTGTTCACCTGCTCACCGCAGGCTGGTGAGAATGTGCACTTTCAACAAATTCATCCTGGCTGATCCTGATGACACTGAAATTTAGGGACCTGCCCTCTAATCTAAACCTGTCATTTTTTTTTTAATTTTTTTATATATCTTTATTGATTTCAGAGAGCAGCAGAGGGAGAGAGAGATATGAAACACCAATGATGAGAGAGTCATTGGGGATGGAGCCCGCAACCCGGGCATGTGCCCTGACCAGGAATCGAACCTCAATCTCCTGGATCCTAGGTCGATGCTCAACAGCTGAGCCATGCCTGGCCGGGCTAATCCTGTCATTTCAAAAATCGAGGGACAGGGGCTTAGAGAAGGAAAAGGACCTGCCCCAGTTAGTGGCAGGGCAGGAACCAGGCCCCGTTCCCATCCCGCTCTCCCTCTGTAGCAGCTCTTTGGTGGAAATAACTGTCCCCTCTCCCCTTCCAGCGGGCTCCTCTGCGAGCACCCCCCACCCATGGTCCTGCTGCAGACCAGCCCCTGCGACCAGTACGAGTGCCAGAACGGGGCCCAGTGCATCGTGGTGCAGCAGGAGCCCACCTGCCGCTGCCCCCCGGGCTTCGCTGGCCCTCGCTGCGAGAAGCTCATCACTGTCAACTTCGTGGGCAAGGACTCCTACGTGGAACTGGCCTCCGCCAAGGTCCGGCCCCAGGCCAACATCTCCCTGCAGGTGCGCCCCCCTACCCAGCCCTGGAAGGACCCCAACAGGCCCCAGCTCCAATTGCTCTGAGAACAGCTGGGACGCCCCCAGTCTTCGCAATCCAGCCCTGTCCCCTACAGCAGCATGAAGGCCGACGCTCAGCTTTCAGGGGATCTGGCCAGCGCTGGCCAGAGGGTCCCATAGACAGCTCCTGACCAGCTCTCACGGTTAAGAGCAGCCTCCACTTCCAGCCTCATTATTCATTCCTCTAGGAGATACTCATTCAGCTATTACATGCCAGGCACTGTGCTGGACAATGGGAATTCAGTAGTGGACAAGACAGGCAAAGCCCGTAGCCCAGAGCAAGATGACAGGGAGAGGGACAGTGACAGCCCTGGGTGTTGTGGGAGCCCATGGTTGGGGCAGGGATCCCAGCTGGTGGGGAGAATCAGGGAAGGCTCCCCAGAGGCAGTGATAACGGAGGAGAGGAGTTTGCCTGGAGAAGGGCAGAAGGGTGAGGGGCTGACGGGGCAGGATGAAGGGGGGGTGCAGTCTAGGCTGAGAGATCAGCATGTGCAAAGGCCCAGAGGCACAAACAAACTGGATTTTCAGAGAACGGAAAACCATCTCATATGAACTAACTTCTTCCCGGTTCCTTCTCTGTGGATCTGAGCACAATTATTCCAAACCGCATTTCTGGGGGATGAGAAGCTATTCCGGGGGGAGAGAGGGACATGAAGAAGAGAGAGGCTCTGGTGGCCATCCCCCCTCCGGGGTCTCCACATCGCCTTCCTGCCTCTTCTCTCAGTCCCTCCCACCCAGGGACCCGGATTAGCCGGAGCAGCACCCAGTGCCCAGACACTCAGATGTCCTAGCAGACCACCTGCCGCACCCCGCATTCCTTCAGGCTGTGCTTGTGCCGAGCAGTGGGAGCCGGTGGATGAGTCAGAGAGCCCAGCCTGCAGTGGGCCTGACAGATGGGTGCCCTCTGGCAGCACCTTCTGAGGCCAGTGGTTCTCAGCCTCGGCAACACGTTAGAATCACCCGGACAACTTCCCAAATCATCTTTGCCTGGGCCCCACCCCACAGACTCATGTAATTGGTTTGGGGTGAAGTGCAGACACTGGTGTATTAAAAACTCCCCAGATGTCTCTTAGAACAGTGCCTGGTCCATAATAAACTGAATTAAATGGTAATTGTTAGCATTTAGTTTATAATTATTATCACACTTTATACAGAGAGACTGAGGCGGGGAGGGAGCTTGGGTGTGACCACACCATGTACCAGTGGGAGAGCCAGATGAGAGCTCGGGCTCCTGACAGCTAGGAGGGAGGG